GGGAGGATAGAAGGGAGGGAAGAAATAGTAAGGGTAAAGGGGAAGAAAAGGGAGGTGGGACTGAGGGAGGCGGTGGTCAAAAGCAAAACACTAGTGAGGAGGGAAAAGGTGAAAGGAAAAAGAAAAGCATAAACCAGGGTGGGGGATGGATGGAGAGAAAGACACAGATAGTAATCATAACTGTGAATGTGATATATGAACGTAATGGAATACTATTGTGCTATAAGAAATGATGAACAGGCAGACTTCAGAAAAACCTGGAAAGACTTGTATGTTCTGATGCTAAATGAAGTGGGCAGAACCAGGAGAACATTGTACACAGTAACAGCCATGTTCTGCTGTTGGGAGAATTTTCCCACGGGAGTTCTAGCTTCTCTTGGCAGAAGCTGAGGGTCACAACCTGTTGCATGGCGAAAACAAGGAAGTCTCACAAGACCTCTCCTTTGCTGTCACGTAGCTCCCACGGTTGGTTCGGCTCTCCTCTCATTAGGAGAAAAGTCCTACTCATACGCCTGGCACGGGGGCTGCAGGTGTCCAGCAGACTTGGTGATTGGCTATCATGTGGAGATCATGCTTTGAGCAGGTGTTACTAGGGAAATAAAAGAAAGCTACTAGCACTTAATAAACGGAGCTTCTGCCATCTTGCTGTCTCCCGCCTCATCAATGCGCCTCCAGGTTAAGAGTATTGAGCTGGTCTCATGTTCACCACTGCAGCGGCCGCGTCATTGTGCGATGACTAATATTGATAGACTTAACGCTTCTCAGCAATACAAGGATTTAAAACATCTCCAAAGGCCTCATGATGGAAAATGCTATCCACATACAAAGAAAGTGTGTGGGGTACAGAAACCCATATCAATGAATTGGAGACTCAGAGATATTAGCAAAAAAAAATTCATTTATTAGCTTTCTTGAGAAAGGGCTCCCTCAGAGCACCAAAAAAATGTCACCGACCAAAGAGAGCTGAGGTGTGTTCAGATCAACAGGTTATATAGGTCCTAGCTGCAATCCCCTCCCCAGCCCCCTCCTCAGGGCTCATTAATAAGAGCTCTGAGGGTACAATCTATTCTCAGCAATCTACCCCAGCAATAAAGAACAAAGACACTTTCACAACTTGCCTGGAGACAAGGAAAGGCGGGAGGTTTTCTTTTTTCTTTTTATTTTAAAGGCAGCTGGGGTTAAGTGACTTGCCCAGGGTCACACAGCTACTAAGTGTCAAGTGTTTGGTCTGAGGCCAGATTTGAACTCAGGTCCTCCTGACTTCAGGGCCGGTGCTCTATCCACTGCGCCACCTAACTGCCCCCTCTTTTTTCTTTTTAGAGTAAATAGTTTTAGAACGGTAGGAGGAGGTCTGATAAAGTACAAGATGTGTTGAAAAGCATGTTTCTTCACAAGGTCAACCGGCTGCAAGTGTTTCAACAGAACAGGAAGCGATTAACTCCCCAAGGAGGCTTCATTCCTGAGAGATTCTCAGAGATCATCTTTCACAAAAGAACTATGGAGTTTGAGTGCAGATCAAAACATACTATTTGCTATTTTTTTCTTCTGTTGTGTTTTGTTTCCTCTTTCTGGTGGTTCTTCCTATTGGTTCTGATTCTTACTTACAACACCACTAATGTGAAAATATGTTTAACAGGAATGTAAATGTATAGCCTATATCAGATTGTGCGCCGTCTTGGGGAGGGATGTGGGGAGGGAAAGGGAGAAAAATTTAAAACTCAAAAGCTTATGGAAGTGATTGTTGATAAATCAAAATAAATTAATAAAAATATTCTATAATAAAAAAGTCACTTAAAAAAAAATAGAAAAATCGCCCTGGCAGCTGAGCAGGAAAGCCAGTTAGAGTCCAGGTGAGAGATGATGAGGGTCTGAACTAGAGAAATACTGTGAAAATAATAAGGACATCTGACAACCAATCAGACAGTGAGTGAAGAGATCAGGATGATGCTGAGGGTATGATCCTGGTGGTGCCCTTGACAAAAATAGGGAAGGTTTGGGGGAGAAAGATGATAAGAATTCTGTTTTGGACGTATTTAGTTTGAGATGCCTACACAACCCTAGTCCAAGCAGGGTATGAAGGAAGAGGAGGCAGTCCACTGTGTCACATTGTGAAGATGACTTAAAAATGCCATTGGATTTGGCAATGAAATCATGAGCGACCTCACTTTGTACAGTGACCTTGGAGAAGGCTGTTTCTGTAGAGCGGTGGAGATAGAGGTCAGATTGCAAGGTGTTGGGGAGAGTGGGTAGTAAAGAAGAGACAGTGAGCATAGAGGACTCTGTCAGATTATGGCAGTGCACAGAGAAGAAGCAGGATTATAGGCTGAGGGGGTATTAGGGAAAGCATTCATTCTATCTATCTATCTATCTATCTATCTATCTATCTATCTATCTATCTGTCAGCTAGTGAGGACCTGAACATGTTTGCAGGTTCAAGGTGAGTATTCCCAGTGGAGAAGACATTGGAGATACATGTGAGATGGGATAATTTATAAAGTAGGGTCACAGAGATGGGAGGGGAAGAACCAAGGGTCCACACAAATAAAAGGGAAGGATGTAGCTGGGCCAAGGAGAAGGTCCCCCTCTTCCCCTGAGAATGGAGGGAAGGAGAAGATGGGTGAAGACAGTAAGAGGATTAAAAGCTGTAGAAATGGGGAGGAAAGAAAGCTCAGGTTGCATAGCTTCAAGAAAGTTCAAGACTGAGTTATCTGATGATAGAGAAGGGGCCCAAGGGTAGCTGTGGGGGCTTGAGAACTGCTGAAGTATGAGATTGCGTAAGAGATGATAAATAGCGTAGAAAGGTAGTTAACCCGGTCAGCCCAATTTCTTTATTTTCTCCAGGAGTGCTTAGCACTTGGGAAATCTACTAAGGGGAGTTACCCAGAATTGAGAGAAACTTAGAAAGGGCAGAAGTTTTAGGATGAGTCAAATGGGGCTTTTCACCACAGGAACAACATTTTTGAAGTACTGACAGTGTTGCCCCAAGTAAACTTTTTCCATCTCAAGGCTCCTCCACACCTGGCCCCATCCCTGATGATCACAACTTTGTCCTGGGGTCTACTTCCTCTACTGACTGCATCCATTCACATATCCCGTGTCCTAGCCACAAAATTTCCCACTTATAGCTCTGAGTTTAATGGGGAAAGATAGGGTTCTGGGCTTCTTATCCCACATTGGCATCAGGCTGTCCGTGATCACTGGGTAACCAGCTCTATCTAGTTCTCCAAAAGGCAAGGAAGGGATAGAGGAGATCCTCTGGAGGCTGAGATGAGTCCAAGATATTGGGGAGTGGAGAGAGGGAACTATGGATAGACAGGGAGTTCTTGCCTAGCAGTCGGAGGAAAAGGCTAGAATTCTGGAATTGGGCTGAAAATGGAGTGGGGTTGCCTTAGGAGGGGATGAATTCCTTATCATTGCAGGTCTTCAACAGAGGGTGGGCAACCACTTGTCAGGGATGTCATAGAATTTTCCTGTCGTTAAGGGTTGGACACAAGGAGCTTAGAGGTCCTGGCTAGCCCTTAGATTCTGATACCCTGACCTGATGCTTCCTTTAGCCAGCCCTCTGGAAGGGAGTTGCCATAGAGGGCCCAGAGATGAAAAGAGGTCTAAAACCCTAGAGAAAGGGTTATTAATCATGAGCTTCTTATTGCAAAATTCAGGGTTAAACTGAAGAAAGTAGGAAAAATCATCAGACCATATAAATATGACTTAACATCCCTTATGAATATGAAGTGGAAATGATGAATAGATTTAAGAGATTAGATCTGGTAGAGTGCCTGAAGACCTATGGACAGAGGTTCAAAATACTGTATAGGAAGCTGCAACAAAAAACATTCCACTAGCTGTGTGACCCTGGGCAAGTCACTTAACCCCATTGCCTAACCCCCCCCCCCAAAAAAAATATTCCAAAGAAAAAGAAGAGCAAAAAAGCAAAATGGCTGTCTGATGAGGCTTTACAAATAGCTGAGGAAAGAAGGAAAGGGAAAGGGGAAGAAGAAAGGGAAAAATGGACCCAACTGAATGCAAAATTGAAGAGAATAGCAAGGAGAGACAAGAAGGTTCTCTTAAATGAGCAATGCAAAGAGATAAAAGAAAACAGCAGAATGGGAAAGACAAGCGATCTCTTAAAAAAAGATAGAGATATTAAGAAAAAGTCTCACTCAAAAATGGGCATGATAAAAGAAAAAATTAGGGGCAACTAGGTGGTGCAGTCGATAGAGCACTAGCCCTGTAGTCAGGAGGACCTGAGTTCAAATCCAGCCTCAGACCAAACACTTGACACTTACTAGCTGTGTGACCCTGGGCAAGTCACTTAATCCCAATTGCCTTGCCAAAAAAAAAAAAGTTGGACGCAACTGAACAAGTTATTTAAAAAGTCAAAAGACAAGTTCACGACCCCTAGTTTAAGAACCTCTAACCCGATGGTCTCTTAGGGACGTATTTCAGTGCAGGGTGGAAAGGATTAATCCGAGAAGTCTCCTTTCCCTGGAGGAGGTGAGGTTTTGTTGTTTTTTTTAAACAAGAGAGTACTGGAGCCGGGTAGAGGAGGTGTAGAATTTGTAGCAGAAGAAATGTGTGTTGATTGGCTAGAATGGCGCAGCCGCAGCTGCTAGAGCCGAGGGTTCTCATTCACCCGGTGATGATGACCATCATGATTGTGTCTGCTCTTGCCTCTTTAAGAGCCCCAGCTCCTCCAACATCTGCCATCTACACTACCAGGGGTTCTACTTCCGCCCGGTCTGCGTCTGACTTCACTACGCACCAGCAGCCCCGCCTTAGACCTGGTCCCCTGGCGGGGAAAGAAGAGCATCTATGCGCAAACGCACCAGTGCGCTTGTTGCCATGGAGAGACGCCAGTGGTTCTGAGAAGTGGGAGGGGTGGAGAAAGTACGTACTCTCGCTCTCCTCTCATGTTAGGTCTCCATGGCAACAGTAAAGCTTCCGGCCGCGCGAGCTCACCTAGTTCTACTGAGATCTAGGAAGCCGGATCCCGGGGCGGGGCTACGCGTGCGCAGTGAGGTCCTACTTATCCCGCGTGGAAGCGTAGGGCTCCTGGTTGTGTAGCTGATGGGAGGAGGTGAGCGGGGGGGGGGGGCTCTTAAGAGGGTTGGCGCGGAGCAGATGGAGAAGGGGGCGCCGATAATTGTCCTTTTGGGGCCACGAAGAGAGTAGGGGCAGTGAGAGGAGGAAGGGGTCCTGTCAATGTCCACGGGGCAGAGGAAGGAGTGATCTTGTCAATCCCCTTGGGGCAGAGGAGGGAGGGGTCTTATCAATGTCCCCCTGGGGCAAGGGAGGGAGGGTCTTGTCAATGTTCCCCTGGAACCGAGGAGGAGGGGGTCCTGTCATTGTTCCTCTGGGGCAGGGGTCTTGTCAATGGCAGTAAGGGGGGGGGCTGTGTCAGTGTCCCCCTGGGGCAGTGAGAGGAGTGATGGTGGTGGCATCCTCCCCATGCCTCCCTGGGGCAGTGAGAGAATGGGGGGGCCCTTGAGATCATTCAGGTAGCTTTGCCCCTTTGTGAGACAAGGAAGGCATACTTAGAGAGCTGTCTCTCATTAGGTCTTCCCACCAATATCACAGGCCTGTTGTACTTCAGCTTCTCCATCCCCTGGGGGGAGTAGACTGTCTGGGTCCGGCGATGGCCCGGCTCCCAGCCCCAGGTTCTGTGATTGTCCCCGATTGGCACGAGAGCACGGAGGGCAAAGAGCACCTGTCATCCATCCTCCGGAAGAACCGTCGGAGGGTGTTTGGTGAGTGGAAACTCAAGCTCCTGTCCTCTGCCAGCAGAGGCTGGGGAGGCTCCCATCAGCTTTCATTGGGAGCCAAATCCCAGCCCTACGACGAAGTGTGGGGCCTTGGGCAAGAACTTGTCTGGGCTTCAGGTTCTTCCTCGGAAAAGGAAGGGGTTGGATTAGATGCGCTACAAGGTCTGCTGTAGCTCTGGCTTTCAATGACTCCTCTCTGGGCTGTTGGCCACCCCAAAGAAAGCGATCTGGTATTTTAGCTCATGTTAGCTTTCGTCTTCCCCGCCAGTTATAAATAAAGTGTTAGGGGATGGCCTGAGCAACAGGATACTCAGCAGATCTGAGAAATGAAAGATGCTTTAGGATATTGGAGCCAGAAGGAACCTTGGAACACAACAAAGTAACCCTAATTCTGAGCTGAGAAGATCGTTAATTTGCAGAATGTTGAAGGTGTGAGGGCTCTTAGAACATAGGATGTCAGAACTGGAAGGGACCTTATAACAAATAATGTCAGAGCTGGAAGGGACCTTAGAGTATAGAATGTCAGCACTGGAAGAGATCTTAGAATATAGAGTGTCAGAGTTAGAAAGGACCTTAGGGTATAGAATGTCAGAGCTGGGAGGGCCCTGAGAAAAGAGAATGTCAGAACTGGGAGGGCCCTTAGAACACAGAATGTCAGTGCTGGAAAGGTTCTTAGAACAGAGATGTCAGAGCTGGGAGAGCCCTTAGAACAACACAGAGTGTCAGAGCTGAAAGGGGCCTTAGAAATTGTCTAGTCTAACCCTCATATTTTACAGATGGGGAAACTGAGTTTCCGGGAAGAAAAATGCCCTGTCAAAGTCACACCACAAATCAGCAGCAGTGCATGAAAAGATGGTGTCTGTCCCCTGAGATTTTTCTTAAGTTTTGCTTTTGGAAGAGGCTTCAGAGACCATCTGGTCCGAACACTTTCATATTTGCAAGGATTATATCTTACTCATCTGGTACAGGGCTCTTCTTCTAGTATAATTAAAATATATGTTGAATTCATTCATACATCCCACACACATGATATAGTTGATAGCCCTCAACCAGATGTTAGCAGTACTGGGTCCTGTTTCCTGCAATGTCGCTACCTTGTTCCGTTAACTTCCCCAAATTGCTTTCCTCTCTGTGCCTGAGAAATGGAGAGGTCAGACTGGATGGTCACTAAGCTGGGAAAAGTGTTTACTTTGAGGGGGTGACTATCTGAAGCAAAGATTCCTTATTACTCTAGGGCTGCTGGAGAGGCCGGTTCTGCCTCCCCAGGTGGCTGCTGACACTGCGAGCTACAAGATCTTTGTTTCTGGGAAGAGTGGGGTGGGGAAGACAGCCCTGGTGGCCAAGTTGGCGGGCCTGGAGGTTCCTGTGATCCACCACGAAACTGTAGGTAGGCGGTAATGGGGTGGGAGGCCTTGGGTCTGGCATACGGGGACTAACCGTCTCTGCTGTCCTGTAAAAACTCACCTCTTGCTAGAAAATCTCCTCTGATTACATTGGGGTCTGTTGGTCTGTTTCCTTAGCCTCGTGTATTTGTGGTCCTCTCTGTTGCTTTATATTCATTGATGTTTTATTTTGTAGTTGTTGCTAAGTCTGTTTTGTATTTATGCCCCGTGACTGATGTTCAAACTAGGTGCTTCCTGAGGGCAAGGCTCTGCCCCTCCCTCTAAAACTAGGGGCTCCCTGAGGGCAGGTACTCTTGTGTCTTCTGTAACCTGCCCCAGTCTCTAGGTCATCTTTCCAGCTTGTTTGGAGAGCTGAGGCCAGGTAAGGATAGAGGAATGGAGGTGATGAGCAACCCCTTTCCCTAGGCATCCAGACGACGGTAGTGTATTGGCCAGCCAAACTGCAGGCCAGTGATCGAGTGGTCATCTTCCGATTTGAGTTCTGGGACTGTGGAGAGGCAGCGCTCAAGAAATTTGATCACATTCTGCCTGTGAGTGGAGGTTCAAGAGGGGGGTTAAGAATGCTTGTGTTTTGTTCTCTCCCCTCTCCCCCCCACCCCATTATACTGTAAGCCTCTTAAGGGCCAAGACTACCATACTATATATGAACTTTACATCTCTCCCAGTGTAAAAAAGCACAGTGCTTTTTGCCCCACAGTAGGTGCTTACCATTTAGAATGCATGGAGGAGCATTCCTCAGGGTGGGGCTAGGCCAGTCCCCTAGTGGTGTCCTGGAGAGATGGGAGTTGAATGGGATGCACTTGAAAACTCTTGGTTCTTATTCCTGATTTCCAAGGCTCTTTGTCCTGTCTCTTGGGGAAAGGCCCCTGGGCTGGGCAGGGTATCTTGATTGTTCCATGAAGTCCTGAGTGGTAGCTGAGGAAGTCCTAGTAGGTACAATGACTGATGGGTGAGATATGTTGAGGTTCTCCTCAGAGTTAAGAGTCTGAAAGTTTCCTCTTTTGAGAGACAGTGTGGTCTAATGGATAGAATGCTCAACTTGGAGTCAGAAAGACCTAGGTTCACATCCCACCTCTGACACTCAGCAGTTTTTGTGACCCCTGAGCTAATCACTTAACCTCTTTGACTCTCAGTTTCCTCATTTGTAAAATGAAAGAATTGGACTCAATGACTTCTAAGGTCTTTTCCAACTCTGATTCTATACTATGATCTAGGCCTGCAAGGAGAAAACAGATGCCTTCCTTTTCCTCTTCTCTTTCACTGACCGTTCCTCCTTTGAAGACCTCCCGGCTCAGCTTTCCCGGGTTGCTGGAGATGTCCCCAACACTGTCAAGATGGTCATCGGCTCTAAGTATCCTTATGGCATCTTCCCATTTATAGTCCTGGGACCCAGCAAAAGGGTGCTTGTCTCTGGGTGTGCCCCATTGCACAGGTGACTGGGTTGTTCTGTCCGTAGGCATCTGTTTCCATGCATACTCTTGGGTCAGGAGAGAAGAAGACCTGGGGCTTTGAGGAGCTTGTAAGAGAGGGAGAGGCAGTGTGGTTTACTGGATGGAGTTGACCTCATAGTTAGAAAGATCTAGTTTTAAGTTGTGCTCAGGTAATGGTTGAACTCAGTGAACCCTGAGGTTGCTTCTATTTCTGAGGCTTTAGTTCTTTGAGGGGGGATGGCAGCCAGGATCCTAGAGAGAAACCTGTACCCTGGAGCTATACCTTTTCCAGGTTCAAAAGTAGGTGAACATGGGTCAGGCTAGAGAGGGGACTTGTGGGATGAGGTATAGGGCTGCTGGATCTGGGAGCTGGCCATCCTGGAGGAGGTAGGGACAGAAATGGGCTGGGGAGCAATAGGGGATGTTGCGATTTCCTTGACCTCCTTTTTCACCAGGTTTGATCAATACATGCACACTGATGTTCCTGAGCGTGACCTCATGGCCTTCCGCCAGGCCTGGGAGCTGCCCCTGCTACGTGTGAAGAGCGTGCCTGGGCGCCGATTGGCCGACGGGCGCACCCTGGATGGGCGGGCAGGGCTGGCAGATGTGGCACATGTCCTCAATGGTCTGGGGGAGCACTTGTGGCACCAGGACCAGGTGGCAGCTGGGCTGGTCCCTGGCCCCCAGGAGAGCTCTCCAGATGGAGGGCAGGGCTGAGGAGAGGGAGTCTGACTTGAGGTGCTCCTGGAAGTAGGACTTAGCTTGGAGTTGGCATCCCTGCCAGGGAAGGAGCGGGTGTGCTTGTAATCTAGTGGAGTGGAAAGAATACAGCAGGCAGAAGATCTGGGTTCGTGTCCCAGCTGTGACCCTTCTAGGGCGACCTTGAGCAAGTCGCTTCACTTTGATTCCTATCCTTAGTTTTCTAATCTGTAAAATGGGAGTATACTTAACACTGCCTCCCTCACGAGGATGTTGTAGGGAATGCATTTTGCAGGCTTTGAATCACGATAGAAATGTGAAGTGATGATAGCACCTGCTCTGACTAGACTGTCCAGGCTGTCTGTCTGTGGGGTAATGGAAGGAGGTATGAATTTGGAGCCTGAAGACCTGGTTTTGTATTCTAGCTCTCCCACTTCCCACTTCTGGGACTCATTTTCCTCTTCTGTAAGATGGACACGATGGTCTCCAAGTTCATTTCTGGCTCTCTAGCCTATGGCCTTCCCTGGGGTGGTGAGGAGGTGTGGTGGGAATGCAGTGGTCCCAGAAAGTCTTCCCTCCCTCACCTCCGCTGTCAGATCCTCTCCTTTCCTCAGCTCTGAGCCAGTATAGAGGAGAAGGGGGCAGAGCCAGAGAGGACCAGGGCACCTGGACCCTCAGACAACAAGCCACCCTCTGGCGTCTTAGCTGGTGGCTCTTCAGGGGTGTCGAATGGTGGAGATGTTACAGTCTCAAACTATCCCTTAGAGAATTAGGGTCCTGGTTCAGAAGAAAGAACACTGGACCTGGAGTCAGAAGATCTGGGTTCAGACAAGTTACAAAGTAGCACGTCAGACTCTTCATTGATACATTCTCCAGGTCTCACCCACTGTGGTACCCTGTCTTCCTTCTCTCTGGCTCTTGTCGCATTCACTGGTAGGGAGAGGAGAGCTAAGGGGAGTGGGGAGGGGAAACCATCTAGGAGGGGGTTGGACTACATGGCCTTCAAATTTCCTTCTTAAGCTAAAATCCTGTTTTCCCCTAAGTCTCCAGGCTACCAGTAGGTGACTCAGAGGAGACCCGGGTTCTGAAGTCACTGAGATCAGTAATTCCAGAAGCAGCATTTCTGGCTGAGCATCAATCAGTCCACAAGTATTTAGGACAGGGGTTCCTGATCTGGGTTGGGGAACTTGTTTTATATATAAATATATATTATATATGTATAAAATATACAAATTTGATAACTAGAATCTGTTTCCTTTGTAATTCTTTGTAGTTTATTTTATACATTTAAAAACATCCTCCAAAAGGGGTCCATGACAGCAGTAGTGTTAAGAACACTGGATTTAGAGGCCAGCCGGGGAGGAGGGTTGTCAGGCAGGAGCCCCGGTGCCACGACCCTCTCTGGTCCTTGGAAAGTAACTGATCCAGCAGGACTGGACAGCAACCTCCCTGGAAGGGCTGAGCCTGGCCCCACCAGGGGGATGGTGGAGGCATTCCAAGCTTGAGGAGTTGAGAGCCTTCCCCCCAGCACTGCGGAGAAGTCTCCTCTCTTCCTCTCCCCCAGTCCTCATTCTGCTTTCAGTGTTTAATAGGCCTTCCCCCCAGGGGCAGTCAAGCTAATGCTGCAAACTTGGGAGGGAGGGGCCACCCCGGTGTGCCCCACACTTCTGTCCCGTAATTTCCCTAATAACTGAGCAAATGCAAATGGGAGCACCACTGCTCTCGAAGGGAGGCAGACGCTATGGAGGAAGCCGCTTTGAAATTGTAGTTGGGGAAACCTGGGTTTGAAGGTTTTGATGCCAGTGACAGCGTCTTGCCCTCTCTGAGCCTTAGTTTCTTTTTCTGTAAAATGGGATGCTAATACTTGGACTAGAGACTTCCTAGGGTGGCCCATGTTGTGGGCTTTGTAAACCTTAAAGCAGAATCAGGGTGTGAGTGCAGGTGGGGAAAGACCACTTGGTTTGGAGTCCAAGGTCCTAGGTTCAGTTCCCAACTCTGGGTGACCCTGGGGGAGCACAACCTAACTGGGTCCCAGTTTCCTTACCTGTAAAGTGAAGGGAGTGGACTCATCTCTCCAGGTTCTCCACCTCTAAATCGATGCCCCTGAAATAGGGAAACTAGTAGAGAGAAAACCTTTGATCCCCTGCCTTGGAAAGAGTGGGGAGGGCCAGTCATTACCGACGTGGCTGGGTCCTTTGCTTTTTCTCTCCCTGGGGATGATGGGAAACCAGAGCCAGGAAGGGCCCTTGGGACTTCCTCTGCAGTTCCAAACCAAGTGCCCCCTGTAACAGTGTAAGCCTACGGCTGTGATCTTCTGACAGGTGCTCTGGGGGCGGGGGGAGGGGGGAGGCCCAGGCTCCTGTAGCTGCTCAGCTCTGGCTATGAAGGGGCGTCTGGTCTTACCAGGGATGCCCTGCTAGTGCAGGACACCACCCTTTTTTCTCAAATGTTCTATGCAGTTGAGGGGATGCATCCTTCTTTTCAGATGGGACATTGGAGCAGGAGTGATATGGTGCATGCCCTTGGGGAGTACCTAAGCCCCAGTCAACTTGGGGACCCAGGTATTGGCAGTGTCTTCCTCTCAGACTTTGCCTTCTCCGTTAACTTTATCATTCCGGGAAGATCCCCAAACATCCTAGTCTCTTCACAGTTGTATGTGTAGTAGCAGAAGTCAGAGCAGGAAGAGCCTTTAGAACATAGAATGTGAGAGCTAAAAGGGCCGTAGAGCTAGGAGCCCCTCTAGATCTCAACTAATCATAGAATTTAGAGCTGGGAAGGACTTTGTTTTGTTGTGGTTTCAATAGTGTCTGACTCTTTGTGACCTCATTTTGGGGTTTTCTTGGCAAAGACACTGGAGTGGTTTGCCATTTCCTTCTCCAGCTCATTTTATAGATGAAGAAACGGAGGCGAACAGAGTGAAGTGACTTGCCCAGGGTCACACAGCTAGTAAGTGTCTGAGGCCAGATTTGAATTCAGAGAAATGAGTTTTCCTGACTCTAAGCTGGGTACTCTATCCACTGTGTCACCTAGCAACCCAGGGAAGGACTTAAGTGGTCAGTTAGTCTGACCCAAAATGAAAGGAATCTCTGTTCTAACATGATGGATGGCCTCTGGTGAAAGACCTCCAACGAAGGGGAATCCATCACCTTCTTTGGCGGTCCATTCCACTTTTAGGTAGCTCTAACTGTTGGAAGCTAGGTAGTGCCATAATGCATAGAGTACCGGATTTGGAGTCAGGAAGACCTGAGTTCAAATTTGGCCTCAAATACTTACTGTTTGACCCTTGGCAAGTCACTTCACCCTGTTTGCCTCAGTTTCCTCATCTGCAACATGAGCGGGAGAAGGAAATGGCAAACCACTCCAGTATCTTTGCCAAGAAAACCCCAAATGGGGTCAGGAAGAGTCAAACACAACTGAACAAGTGAACGATTATTAGGAAGAAGTTTCTCCTGACATCAAACCTAAATTTGCTTCTTTGTAACCACCTCATTTTACAGGGAAGGAAACTGAGGCCCAGACAAAGGAAATGATTTGTTCAAGATCACACAGTATATGGTACAGTTGACCTAGAACCCTGGCGCCTTCCCCTGCACCATGACAGGTTCTGCCGTGCCCTCTCCTCTGTTAGACAGACTGCCTAATCTCAGTGCTCCTGGGCCTCTCACCTCTAACGTCACTTATCTGGGCCAAAAGACAGGTTCTTATCCTAGTGCTGCTAGTTGCCAGCTGGGTGACCTTGGCCCAGACCTTTCTTCCACTCCCCCGTGGCAGAGGTGTTGTGAGGAAAGAGCTTTGTGCCATGTTATGTAATAAACATGAGCTGTTATTATTGATGACTCCTAGGTACCCCATCTGTAGAGGCACCCTCCCCTTAGGAGCTCTGTGGTTGCTAGGATGTGAGGAAATACGGTGGAGCATCCTCCCTCCTCCCTCCCTCCTGCTCCCAGGGATGCTGCTGAAATCAGAAGTAACATTTTTTCAGCCCCAGTCCCTGAGTCCCCTTTTCTCTGCTTGGTCTGGGGACAACCAGAGCCCTCAGCAGGATGAAGAAGAAAGCGTCTAGGAAGCAGGATGTCCACTTGCTGCTTGATCTGGAGCAAGGATCAGCCCACCTCCCTAGGGGATCCCCGCGGAATGGGGTGCACTGTGCTACTGCCCAAGTGAGTGCCGGGCCCAGAGTGGGGGGAGGGCACTGAATGGTTAGCGATGGGCAAAAACAGTCCCAAAGGGCTGCCTGCACTCCTCCAGATGCCCTCCTTGACTCACTGACACCCCGTGAGATGGCCATCTCACCTAGGCTCTGCCTGGAGGAGAAGGGAGGGAGGGCTCTGCCAAGATGCCATGGAAGAAAACAACAGCCCGAGAGTTAGGAAATCTGGCTTCAAGCTCTGGATTCAACTGTGTGATCTTGACCAAGTCATTTGCTATTGATGGACCTCAGTTTCCCTTTCTATAAAATTAGGGGATTGGTCCAGGAGGTCAATAAGGTGCTAGTCTCCAGCCATGGTGTGTTAAGGAGTGTGCGTGTTGTTGGGTAGGGATGGGGATGGTTCTATATCTGGAGCAGTGAAGGGACAGCATGCCCACGTGCTGAGTAGGGACCTCTCAGATCCCACGTCTTCCAAAGGGTAGTGTGATGGCAATTTTCTTTACCCAGCAAACAAGAGGAGAGTTCTTTAGGTATCTTCCCAAAACTTATCAGATCTCTCAGCCTCCCTCCAGAACCTCAGAACTATATAGGTACATAGATATATCCACCTCCCCACCCTCCCCCACCTTCAGCCCAATCTGTCTGAGAAAGAACACCAGAGGAAGGGTGCGTGATTTGCACATAATTTTATTGTTCCATGATTGACCCAGCCCCCACACTTTCTTTTTATACCCAGGACCCTGAACCCAAATCTAGTTGGGCTCTGCCTTTGAAAATTTAGCACCCTGCCCTCCCTCTCTCTTAAACCCTGGAGGGACTCCACCAGGGTCTGGAGTGGGGGGTTGAGATCTCCACGGCCAGGGAGGGGTCTGGAGATCCCTTTTTCAATGAACCCAATAGGTGAAGAATGGCCAGGGAGTAGGGAGGGCTGAAGGATTCAGGTGAGGTCTGAGAGGAGGTGGGAGCACAGTTAAAGTCTTGGAGTTGGGGTGCTGGTAAAAAAGAGTGAGAGGTATTGTGAGGGATGTGGGAGAAGCTGTTGACTAGGGATGGGGAGAGGACAGAGTGGAAGGATCAGCAGATGAACCAGGTAATGAAGGAGGTGAAGGAGGTAGTTGTTGAGCCATGATCAGGGATCAAATGAGATAATTGTAAGGTGCTTAGTACGGTGCCTGGGACATAGTAAGCACTACAGAATTTTAGCTATCATCATCGTCATCATCATCTTTGGAAGATGGAAGAAGTGGGGAAGGACTGGAGGAAGGCAAGTGTCCTGATTTTCAAAAGAGGGAGAGAATGGAACCTACAAACTGTAGGCTGATGAGTTTGGATTCAATTCCTGGCAAAATTCTAGAAAATGTTCTTTAAAGAATGATAGGAGACTGTCTGGGAAAGGAAGCAATGATTGCTAAAGGCCAGCCTGGCTTCATCTACTCAGCCTCCTGGAGACTCTCTAGGCAAAAAGGCCTGTGGCCTTCATCTCTATGTACCATCTCCATCATTAGAATGGAATCTCCTTGAAGGCAGGAATTGTCTCACCTTTCTTTAAATCCTTAACACCTTGCACAGTGACTGGTATATAATAGAGACCTTTTAAAAAAAAATCATCCATCAAAAGCAGATCATACCAAAATCTGATTTCCCTTTTTGGCGGTGTTACTAGTCTTCAGAAATACTGTAGCTATAACTTACCTAGATTGCAGCAAAACATTTGAAAATCTCTCATAAAATCCTGATACATGAGATGGAAGATATTGGCAGGATCATAGTACAGTTAGGGGAATTTTGAAATGAATGAATGGTCAGTCCCAAAGAATAGTTGACTTCAACTCATAGGGAGCTCTCCAGTGGAGTGCCCCAGGGATCTGTGCTTGACCTTGGGCCTGCTTCCTGTCTTTATCAGTGACTTGGATAAAGGTGGGCTCATCGGATTTGCTGAAGACGCAAAGCTGGGATGAAGAGTTGGCAGACAGGATAGAGATGTCAAAAGATCTCTCCAGGATAGAGGCAAACTAAAATGAAAAAGTTTTTTTGGGGATGGGGAGAATGTAGAATTT